TCATCCTGTTTCTTTTCATCACCTTTACTGGCTCTAAAAACCAGGTTGCAGACTCATTAAGCTGTCTGTAGAATCCTGGCATCGTTTTTCGATTGGTACTGGCAGCCATCTTAGTACAATATTGAACAATGAATACGCGCCCGCGGTACCGAACCGCTGACTGTACGTAATTTTTCGCCATGAACTCTACATTTTCTATTGGTCACTTGTTCTTGGGCAGCCAAGATAGTCATGATGCCTCATTTTGGACGTAGTCATTACATGGTTATGGCAAAACTGGGAGACGAACTCAAGGCTCGAGGACATGATGTAAGTACACATGCTGTTTATTTAGGAGCGTTTGAAGCAGTAACAACACGATAATGTATCCTCCTAGTTGAATCGGTTAATACCTTTTTGTATCGTAATTATAGAACTAAATAATCTACACTAGCACTAGTATTAGTTTGTGTTATAGGGATCAGCTTGACCTTCAATTATTATTATTTACTTACTATTTTTTACATAAATTAATTCACGATTACATATATCCTCTGAAGTAGCATGATACTAATAACCAACGATCGAGGCAAGGACAAAGTTATCAAAGCTACAATGTCCACAAGTTACATATAGTACTGAAAAGATATTTTCTGTGCCACACATTTCCAAAACATTTCAGTAAAATCATCAAAACATTACCATGTAAGAATAACAATGAACAGTGAGATTTATTTGCATACCCCAGAAACACGGTTTTATTTCTTTGTTTTTCCATTTAAAAGTATATGTGATGCAAACCCCGGTAAGCTTAGTTTTTTTTAGCTAAATACGACTTGACATTTGTTGAAGTTCATCTGGGCTCCAAAGAACAGCAAACGCCGGAGCGGACTAAACTTATGGACCCGGGGTAAAGTTCATCTAAACTTGAAGATGCCATTGTTTCTTGGTTAATCAAGCGAATTTGGGAAGGTTTATTTGACCTAATATAGTGAACCTGATACATTTGCCAATTTTTTCCGATAGGTTTCAATTTTTGTTGGCGAGGAAGATGCATTTGCCTTTGGTAAACCTAATGTTAAGGTCTTCGAGACACCAATCATAGAGGGCAAGCCAAGCGTTCTTGATCACTTCAAATCCATGTCCAGTACAGAACAAAAAGCATTTATGTCTCAAGCTTCGCAAGTCTTTCAACACCAAAGAGATTACTGTGATTTGTTCCTTAGTAGCGAGCACGCGCAGAGAGAGCTGCAGGATGCTGACATCGTGATTGGAGATGGCCTTTACCCATGTTCAAGCTTGGTAGCTGACAAATATAAGATCCCACATGTTGTAGTTACAATGAGCCCACTATGCACACCGACGTTTAGGGTTTTCGGTATCTCGTCTAACCCAGTCTACATTCCCCAAATGATGTCAGAGCTCACAGCAGTCAAGGGACTGGCCAATAAGATCAAAAATGTTGGCTTTTATTTCCTGGCTGTGTTTGCGATGGAGTATTTCATGTATCCTACGTATGGTAAGCTGAAGCTGAAGCATGAAGTCACACCTGGAAAAAGTATAAGAGATACGTTGGCCAATGCCGATCTTGTTTTGATGCAGAGGGATTTTATAATGGACTTTGCACAGCCTATACCCCCATACGTCCGCGACGTGGGTAATTTCCTCTACGGTCCAGCGCAACCTCTTCCAGCCGAGCTTGAAAAATTCATGGAAGAGTCTGGTGACGATGGTGTCATTCTGGTCTCTTTTGGTTCGATAGTAAATACCCTTAGCGACGACATCAGTGTCGTAATGAACCGGGCCTTTTCTCAAGTAAAACAAAGAGTTATATGGAAAGTTGGTAAGTACAGGATGTTATAGGCTCAAATTATTGAGAAGCATAACCTCCACTATATTGCGTTGGTCAAGCTTGGGTATAGGGAAGAATTTCTGATCCTTTGTAACCTCAACAGGTCATCCCTTCTCCATCTGCCCGCCAAAACGCTTATTTTTCCAATGGTGGGAGGAGGGGGTAGGGGGG